TACGAAAAACCACTGAGCTATTCATGTTAAAATAGTGAACATTATAATGTGTGAATTATATCTCAATTTTTTAAAAAGAAAAGAAATATCTGGTCTCATATAATAACTGCTAGATGGCACTTCTAGGCCACGGTTCTGTAACACCAATTCCCTAACTTCTCCAGGACTAAATTCAGTTTCAAAATACCTGTGGTCACCTCCTAAAATTTAAGTCCACTCCCCTACTCTCTCCCCATCTCTCATCCTCATGCTTCTCTGAATACTCTCCTTTGAACCAAACCCCATTTTGTCCTCTTCCTCTCAGTTTCCTCTGGGCCTTTTGGAACTCCAAGTATGTTGTTATTTTAGGATCTCTACATGTGCTCTTCCTGTCTAAATTCTTCTTTAAGTCTTAGTCATGAAACATCTCAAAAAATGTTCTGACTACTTAAATTGCTTGGATCCTGTTATATACCCAGAAATTTTCTTCTATGGCAGTTATCACCATTAGTTAGTTATCTGTTTAATTAGTCTGTCTCTTTTGCTAGGAATACATCCTCCAAGAAGACAGGAAATTGCTTATCCCAACATCTAGCGTAATTTCTGGCGCATAGCAGGTGCTCAACAGTTATTGTTGATCAAATTAATAAATCCCTCCAAATCACACCTCCTTATAAAAGTTTATACTGCATAGGGCCTCCCCGGTGGCGCAGCGGTTGAGCGCTGGGTTGCAAAGCTGCCCGCAGCCTCTGCAGTGCCAGTTCGATCCCCTGCTGCTCCCCGGCCACCGGAGGAGGGTCCCACATGGCGCGCAGACCTCTCCTGCCGCCCGCTGCTCCCCTCAGCAGTGTACTTCGGTCCTTCTGCCTGCTCTGCTCCCTGCTCTGGCTCTGGTGAATTCTCTCACCCTCCCGCGCTTCTGACTGTACCCAGTGCTTGTATAAATAAATAAATAAATAAATAAATAAATAAATAAATAAATATAAAAAAAGAAATCTTTAAAAAAAAAGTTTATACTGCTTAGAGTAGTTGAAAAGATTAGTCTATATTATATAATATGTGAAAGGGCTTAGTACAATATGTACAAGGCAATTATTAATGGTCAGATTGATAGCAGTGATGAGGATGATGATTGCTTAACTCATCATTAATTAAATTATTTGTAGCTTGGTATGTGACAGGTGCTGAAGATACAACCATGAACAAAATAAAAAGATCTCCCTGTCCTCTAGAACTTGTAGTCTAGTATCAACCAAGAAACAGCCAACTTCTTGACCATTTTCCCAAGCTTTTGGACTACTTGCCCTTTCAAACACTCTGAAATTTGTGTTCTCCTCTTTCGATACGACAGAGAAGAACACAATTCATGTCCATTGGTTTGTCATTTCCTTCAACCTTCCCTGTTACTTGTTCATATGAACTCTACACAATGTTGGTCTTCAATGTGGAGCCCTTGAAAACATTTCATTACCTATGAAATTGGCCCCCAAGATTTTTCCTTCTGGACTTAGCAAGACTCAACCTGGCACCTTCTCTAGCCATAGCCTTGTGGTACAAGGGAAATCCCTTAGAAAAGAATGGTAATCTCAGGGTGAATGACATCTACACCTGAGTTTGGATCCATCCAATTTCTGTGCAAAGTAATTCAGCAGGTGTGTCATTACCTATTCCCTGTTACATTCTGACTTCTATAGACACCACCCTGCCATAGTGATCAATTAATATGCTTTCTGGGGCTGATGAATATCTGCAATAGTGTCTTAATTGGATCCACCCTGCTCTATTACTTCTGCAGACCTAAAAAGATATGTGATTCCAACCAATCCGAACCCAGTAAATTTGGTCTTCTCACTTATCTAGAATTTTAGATGATTTGCAGTTAAAAATTTCTTAGAGTCATGGGCCTCCCCGGTGGCGCAGCGGTTGAGCGCTGGGTTGCGAGGCTGCGCGCGGCCTCTGTGGCGCCGGTTCGATCCCCGGCTGCTCCCCGGCCACCGGAGGAGGGTCCCACATGGCGCGCGGACCTCTCCTGCCGCCCGCTGCTCCCCTCAGCAGTGTACTTCGGTCCTTCTGCCTGCTCTGCTCCCCGCTCTGGCTCTGGTGAATTCTCTCACCCTCCCGCGCTTCTGACTGTACCCAGTGCATGTATAAACAAAACAAACAAAGAAACCAGCAAACAAATAAATAAAGCATGCCTCTATAAAAAAAAAAAAAAAAAAAATTTCTTAGAGTCCCAACTAAAGAGGATGGGGCTAAGAGTTTTGAAGCTTGAACCCCAGCTCGAGTACATTACAAGTAGTTACTATGTAATGTCAATGTTTGTTTATTCACATATTCATTCAATATCAGATACCTGCTTTAGGTCATGGTCAAGTGCACTGTAGGCTGGTTACATACAGACATGAAGAAAAAACAGTTGCTGACCCTAACATCTTTCTAGTGAGAAAATGTATAAAAACTATTTATATATTTTAATTATTTATTATATATAATACTTATATATAAATCATTTATTACATGGCAATGTAATAAATAATACTATACTGAAAACCGGAAAGTAAAAGTTTTTGTTCCTCATTTCACAGATGAGGAAAACCAAAATTATTATCAAATTAGAGAGATGTGAAATACTCAGATAAGGAAAGGCAGTGGGTATTAGGAGAGAGATGAAATCTCGGCTCCCCCAGTACTACCACTTTAGAGGCTGATGACTTATAAGAAAGCATTCATTCATTCAGGCATTCATTAAAATATTTGAAAACCTATTATGTCCCAGACACTATACAGGTAGTTTCCAGTTCCTCATTCATTGTGCCTATCAGGATAATCTTACAATGTTGTGAAGATCAAATGAGATTATACAAATGAAAGAAGTTTATTAACTGTAAAATAATATCAGTATTCCTATGTGTATAATTCTTCATACCTTACAAAGTACTTTTACGTACATTATCTTCTATAATGTACCACCATTTCCATATATTGGGCATCACCATTCGCATTTTACAGATATGAAACTGAAGCAGTGAGAGGTCAAATAACCTAAAAAATTAACAGTCACTTTAGCAGAAGTGGTCAGAAAAGATTTATGAAAAAGATGAGACCTGAGCGGGGTCTTGAAGGATAGAGCATTTGGATATGTGATGAGAAGGGTGAGGGCACTCTGAGTAAGAAGGATACACAAGATCAAGGATCAGGAATTCAGCATTTATCAAATAAAGAAGAGGCTATGTGGCCAAAGCAGTATGGTAAACAGGAAGAGTAAGTGTGGAAGGGAACAATGACATCAGGCTTGGAGCAACCCTGTATATCCTGGCATCTTTATTTATTTATTTTTTTAATAGAGGCATGTTTTTATTTATTTATTTATTTGTTTGTTTGTTTTTGTTTTTTATACATGCACTGGGTATAGTCAGAAGTGCGGGAGGGTGAGAGAATTCACCAGAGCCAGAGCAGGGAGCAGAGCAGGCAGAAGGACCGAAGTGCACTGCTGAGGGGAGCAGCGGGCGGCAGGAGAGGTCTGCGCGCCATGTGGGACCCTCCTCCGGTGGCCGGGGAGCAGCCGGGGATCGAACCAGCGCCGCAGAGGCCCAGGGCAGCTTCGCAACCCAGCGCTCAACCGCTGCACCACCGGGGAGGCCCTATCCTGGCATCTTTAGATGACAGTTCTAATGACAGATTTCCATGGGCTCTCCAGGAGTACAGAATGGTTCAAAACAGTATACTCAGAAAAAACGATTCCTCCCTTTCAACATGCCTTAAATTCAAGGCAAACAGAGCAGGAGTGGGGAGTCACCAATTTGACCACCTTTAACAACGCAATTTTGAAAGTGATTTATATTCTATTATTCTTTCACCAAACCTACAACATTCTCACAATCCAACTAAGGAGAACAACAGTGAGTTATATATTTCACATCATAAATGATGAAATGAAACTTGGGCATTTAAAGAAACAAATATGGAGACATTCAGGAACTGCTCCCAAGCAGAACTATTTGCAAAAATGATCTTGCCGCTCTATGCGTGATGAAGATACAGTCTCTGCGATTAATGCCTAAAATAAAATTTTACTTATAAATTGCTAAAATAAGTAATAAATGTAAGCAGCATGATAGAGCTGAAAGAGGACACCTGTAATGTGTTAAGAGGACAGAGAACGGCAAAGGAATGTATTTATGGTGGTTTAAACAGTTTTACTACTGTCACTTCAATAAGGTTTTGTAAGTAACAGTGTAAATTACCCTTGTATAGCAGGGCTGCCTCACATCCCAATCGGGTCATCAAGTCAGTGAAAGGTCCATGCAGGAGGCCTGAATGCAGGAGCCAACCAAGAAGCCCACCTGGGGGGCAGGAATGGGGATACCTGCCTGGAGGACTCAGACAATGAGCCTCCCCCCTCCCCCTAGGAGTCTCATCTCAGACAAAGAACCTATACCTGCCCTACAAACTTTTCCCGCCGTTCGAGCCCAACTACCCACCTGACCTCTCCTCGCCCTATAAAACCCTGTTTCCCCCTAACAACGTGCGCGGCTTCACTGACCCCCGCCTTGGGTCTGTGAGGTCCGCCCTGGGCGCAATAAACTTTCCCTCCCTTTGAGAAATGTAGCCTGGCTCTCCTTTTCTTTACCGCGCCGAACCTTTCAGTCAGAAAGGTATTCTTTGAAAAAAAGATCTGGAAGTTGATGATTGCCCTTCTCAAGGTCATACAGATTATGGGGACCACATGCTGGAGTCCAGATTCCCAATACGGGGCCTTTCCCTTTCCAGGCAATGGGCGGTGTTAGCAGGAGCGGAGGGGGTGCGGCGCACGGGCTCCCGCGGCCAGTAGGCCGGGGCGGAGACAAACAAAGCACAGTCCTTGGGAGTAAAAGGGGTCGCACGTGCTGCCGGGAAGAGCCTCGTTTTCGCCAGTGTCTCATTACCCGGATGTGTTACACTCGCGGTGCTCCCCGGACAACTCCCACGTCCGCTCTCCCCGCCGCTTCCCCCGCCTTTGGTGCGCAGGGGACCTACATTACCTTTCCCAGAGCTCTGCTCATCTTGTGCTGCTCCCGCCTGCAATTTTGAAAGTCGAAGAACGCCCCGAGCAGCCGTTTACACCTTGGTGTCTGAAAACACTGACGGAACTTCCGATCTGGTCCAGTTCCAATATCTGACCGAGGTTCACTGGACTCCCGCAGGACCTTGGTTCCGGCAGCTTTTGCGATCACGGTCCAGCTGTTCCTCCAGACCCCGCCCTCGTTACAGCTCTGGTCACCACTACTGTTTTTCCGTTTTTCCAGGCAGAACTCAGTATTTTGTACAGAATTCTACTATTTCACTTGCCCGACTATTCATTGTTGCTGTCGCTTTCTCATGCTTATCGTGAATTCCTCAAGGACCGAGATCCTGTCTGATTAGTTCATTTCAGCTACTGGCACAGGATGCAGAGATCTGCCTTCTGACTGTGATTAAAGAGCTAACTGACAATCAGTGAAAATTAGTGAAACTTCACACATAATAATTGATAATAACTACTTTCTATTTAGTGAACTGAATAGTACGCACTATGTGCGTTGCATAATGTTCAAAGCATCAACATAATCTGTCCCCAGTTAGTGGGATGTTGCCACTTGATTTTACAAATAAGGATATTTCAAGAGGTTCAGGGACTGGTCTGGGGAAGACAATCTGAGGCAGAGGCAAGTTTCTTTTATTTTTTACTAAGGTAACATTGGTTTACAACACTCTTTATGATTCAGAGGTACAGGTTCACACTTCTTCAGATGTATGTAACCACACCACATCCACCACAAGCCTCACTCTGCTCTGTGCCAGCACTTTCAATCCTGGGAACACAGAGATGAATATTACAGTTTGTGCCCTTATGTGGTTCACTACATCAAGTGGAAAAGCTTCTGTACAGCAAAGGAAACAGCAGTGTGAAGAGACAACCTATGAAACGAAAGAAAATATTTGCAAAGTGTACATCTGATAAGGGGATTAATGTCCAAAATATATAAGAAACTCAAACAACTTAATACCAAGAAAACAAGTACACTGATTTAAAAATGAGCAAAGCACCTGAATAAAAAGTTACCAAAAGAAGATAAACAACTGGCCAATACGTATGTGAAAAGCTCACTTATCATCAGGTATGCAAATCAAAACTCCAGTGCACTATCACATCAACCTGTTAGCATGGCTATTATCAAAAAGACAAAAGGTGACAAGTGGTGTTGAGGATCTGGGGAAAGGGCGAACATAAATTTCCCCATTATGGAAAGCAGTATGGAGAGTCCACACAGAAAAAATTAAAAATAGAACTACTACTTCTGTAGTTGCTAAAAATAGGAATCAATCTTACTTCTCTGTGTATATCTGAAGAAAATAAAATCAGCATCTCAAAGAGGTAGTTGCACTCCCATTTTAATTACAGCATTATTCTCCGTAGTCCACATATGGAATCCATTTAAGTATTGATTCCTTAATGGAGGAATGACTGCATAAAAGATATGTATGTATGTGTGTGTGTGTGTGTGTGTGTATATATATAATGAAGAATATATATATTCACTTGGCCTTTTAAAGAAGGAAATCCTATCATTTCTGACAACATGGACAAATCTGGAGAACAATATGCTAAATTAAATAAGCCAATCAGGAAAATACAAGTACTCTGTGATCTCACTTATATGTGGAAACTAAAATAGTCAAATTCACAGAATTAAAGGATAAAATGGTGGTTACCTGGGATTGGGGAAATGGGGAAGAAGGGGACATGTTGGCCAAAAAGTACAAAGTTCTAGTTATGTGTGTGGTCTATCTAATGTATAGCATGATGACTGGAGTTGATTATACTGTATTGAATACTGGAAATAAGCTAAGGGAAATTTCAAGTGCTCTCATCACAAAAAAAAGGGTAACTTTGTGAGACAGGTTAACTAGCTTGGATAGTAATCATTTCACTATGTGTGTGTGTGTATATATATATATATATATATATATATATCAAATCATCAACTTGCACATCTTAAATATATACAACTTTTTTAAAGATTTATTTATTTGTTTATACAAGAAACGGGGTACAGGCCAGATGTGCGGGAGGGTGAGAGGATTCACTGGAGACAGAGAGGGGAATAGAACAGGCAAATTGATGAAATACACTCTGAGGGGAACAGGAGGCGTGACAGGAGAGGTCTGCCATGCCATGTGGGACCCTCGCCCACCGGCCTGGATCAAACCTGCGCTGCAGAGGCTGTGGACAGCTTCACAGCACTGTGCTCAACTGCCTGAGCCACCAGGGGAGGCCCTACAACTTTAATTTTTAAAAGTAGCTTATAAAGATTAGTAGGGAGGCACATCATATACAATAATAAAACATTGAGGAATTCTAATTACAGAGATATAAACTCTGTATATGAAAGGATTACATTGTCACATAAAGTCAGCATCAAATGAAAGAATAAATATGCAGTTATTTTTATTGTTCCTGCTGCTGCTGCTATGATTTTTGTTATCATTATTAGTGTTCTTAGCAAGGAAAAGATGTAAAATTTGTTAAATATGAATGGGGCTTCAATGATAGGGAGTTTGCTTTATTGTCAGAAACCTTTATCCTATTGTTTTATCACTCCTTCCTATGATGAAATTCTGAGGCAAAACAAAGACATATGTAGGTAAATCTATATCCCTCAACATGCCCCCTTTGGGGCAACGTTGCTAAGAGACCATCTATAGAGACAAATTCACAGTTAAATGATGCTCTGAGCATAATGCATTGTACAAAGTGGTCACTCAGTAAAAAGCAGTTATTATCAATTATTATGAGGCAGTTGAATGTAAGAAAGTTTCACTTATGGTCAATCAGCTCTTAAATGCAGATTAGCAGTCCTGTGCTAGATGCTGGAATGAAGTAATCAGTCCTCGAGGAACTCACAATAAAACATGGGAAAGCGATAGTAACAAATAAAACATAGTCTAGTAGGTAAAATGGCAGAATTCTATGTAAAGTATTAGCAACCCAGAGATAGCAATTAATTCAGCTTAGAGAAATAGAAGACAAGTCACACCTCTACCACAGTGACTGGTTATTGCCTGCATAGGTACCTAAAAGCTGTTGGGATTTTAGAAGTGAATTTGAGCCAGGTAAGATCTTTTCATTGTGTATCTTTCCCACTAGAGTTTGAGCATTTTAAAAGGAGTATACTTTTCTTCCCTTCAAAGATTAACTACAGATTTTTTTATTGTTTTGTACTTTTACATGAACCATATACAATTTTATGCAAGGTAGAATGTTAGGGATTATCACTTTGTAGATGACAAAATTGAAGGGAAGTAGTCTAGATAGATTGCCTAAGCTTAAATAATTGAACACCACAAAATCAGGGTAATAGCAATAGAATTTTAGCTCTGCAGAGCCCTTCTTCTAGTCGATGACACCAAAAATAAGCTAGACACTCTGAGATCTTCCCATTGCCAACTCTAAATCCCAAACCAACCTTGGGTGAATTGGCATTTACACAGCACATATGAATATGGGTCACAAGAAAATTTGTTGAAGAATAAATAATGAAGTCAGTTCTTTTCCAGATAATAAGGAAGACTAAATGCACTGAAGCACCAACTTTTTCCTCAGCAATGTAATATCTCTTCCCCATTCATACAGATGTCTCCCAAACTGTCCACTTCATCTGAACAGTTGGTGCTGTGCATACTCTCAGTCCTGTGCATACTCATACTCTTTGTATCCCTAGCATTTGGCACAGGTCACAGAACATAAAAAAAGCTTAAATAAATATTAAATGAAATAATAAATGAGTGAATATTAAAAAGTTCCTAGATGTGGTTGCGGATTTTAGATTTTTTTCAAGATTTTCCAGCACAAACAAACCATGGAGGAACTTGGCCTTTCAGGTTTTATTATTACAAGCCAGTCTTCTTCAAAAGCTTTTTTTTTTTAACTGTTCCAGTGCTCAGCGCAACCACATCAGAGAAAGCTTTTGGGAACAAAAGAAAATAAAGGGAGACCCTTTAGGAGAATGTGTTTGATCTTAGGTTAAACTTCTGTTAAAGTAATGATTCTCCGGTACCTATTATAAAAAGTTTCCCAAGGGTGCAGAATAGCTCTAATTTATGACTTAAGTGAAAGCATATATATTAGGCTACTTCAAATAGAAAAATATTTTAGCTCTATTTTTGGGTATGGTTTTGGCACAAAGAAAATCATACTTCAAAGAAAAAAAGATAAAAGGTCAGAAGTGGAACAGAGCTGGCTACCAAGGAAAAGTCAGAAAGGGATTGGTGCTCACTTTTCAATTTGTCCTTGATCAGGTGTTTTCTGCTTGTGCAGGCTGTGCAGAGTGAGTGGGGATTACCTAACCCTGGAGAGGGAGGAAGGATGATGAAAGAGGCTGCAAGAAGGAAGCTCAAGTAGTTAATGAGATCATAAAAGCAGGTAAGAAGGGAGGGAGAGGGTGCAAAGAGCCACACACCAGGCAGCAAGGCATGCAACCCATTGAGAATCTTTCTAGAAGCCCAGAACCTGTGTTCAGGTTGTTTCAGTGCAGGCTCCATCATAGGGATACTGGGAGAGTACCTGCTCACAAAGTCATTCCCCATAGGGATATTGGGAAACTTGGACACACCTGAGAGACTACTATTCGCCCCTCTCCCACCCCTTTCAGGTTGGCCTGCACTAAATCACCTTTATCTCAGCCAGGGAGCTAACCCATATATGGCACAGCAGACCTCTCCTGTTTCACTTGCTGCTCCCTTTATTTATTTCAGTAAATCCACCTGTTCTGCTCCCCACTTTGTCTCTGGTGAATCCTTTCACCCCCTGCACCTCTGTTCACCCCAGTTCTTCTATGCAAAAATAAATTTTTAAAAAAGAATCCCCCAGTTCTTGTATACATAAATAAATAAAAAAATTTTTTTTAAAGAATCCTTTGTGTTGCCATTGCTTAAGACCCAAATAGCATATGTGCACTGGAAAAGAAAAACAGAAAAAATGTAATTCCACTCTAGCAAACTACTCAGGGCTTCTAGTGTATTTCTCCTGACTGGTAGCCTAAGATCAGGAGATACAAGTGCAGATTTACAAAATCATGACATGCAGGCAGATTTTGAAATAAATTTCTCAGACTCTAGTAATACTTACTTGACCTACTGGGGTAGGAGCAGAAACACGGTGCCTTCCTTTTTCTAAAACATCTTCACAGACTTGTTCTCAATTGTTCTTCACCATAGTCTTGTGAAGCAAGTAAAAACAAATTTATATCCTCATCACAAGATGAGGAATTTTAGGCTTAGAGAATTGAATTGACTTGCTCAATATCACACAGAAAGTGGATCCTGGTGTTTTGTCTCCTGGTCCAGGGCTCTTTTCATTCAACTACCATCATTCAATATTATCACATTTAATAATTGTGAGTTGGAGATCCATATTTAGGTCAACCTATTATTATTATTACTGAGCCCCTGAGCAGTGAGTCAGTCCCTCTACCTCCACAGTCACATGAAAGGAAGGACTTCTACCCTCATGGTCACATGAAAGGACCAAAAGAGACCAAAAGTTATTTCTTTCATGTCAAAGAAAGAAGTGAATAAATCCACGGAAACACCTTCTTCCCTATCCCTATTCTAATGTCTAATTAGAATAGGCATTCAAGATAAAGAGCATTTGGATACCTAGCAAGGAAGAAGCTGGGAACTTTCTTTACCAGTGTGTGAAGAATTGTTTGAACCATTTCGACACAGGACACTGAGTGCAGATAGTGACTTTCTAAATGTAAAGGAGGCAATTTTTCAGAAGGCCTTGATTGTTCCATTGGTGAAAGTTTGGACTTATTTCTTCAGAGATCCTTACCATCCCCCAAGTATTATGATTCTAAGTTCTACAAGACTGTAATACTCTAGAACCCTAAGACTGTGAAATCTCTTGTAATTCTCGTGGGGCAACTTTATAAAGGGAAGATGAGGTTGTGAAACAGCCAGTTCTTAGCTGTCTCTCCTCTTCCACCTGCCCCACCTTCAATCAGTGACACCCTTTGAAGTTCTCAATGCTTAAATACCCACTGGGAAAATACGAAATTTATAACACATTCATCTCTGGAATACTTTCTACTATGCATATAATTAGAATGACCAAGAAAAAAATATTACAAACAATACATATATTATTGTACCAACTGTCAAAATAGATACAACCGAGTGGGAGCTCCAGGAGAAAGAAGGGATGAATGACAAAAGGTAATCAGAATTGTTTGTGGTTGGTGGGATAAACATTTTTAACATCACTATGCTTTTCCCAACTCCCCAACCTTCTAAATTATGCCTCTGTTTTTATAATCAGAAAACAATGTTTTATCTTCAAACGTGTCAGGACACTCGGGGCGCTGCCAATTTATCTGGAAGTTGGGAAGCAGATGTGTCCTCTCAAAGGAGAGGGAGCGGCCCGCTGGGCTTTGACGCCAGCTGGCTGTGAAAGGGAGGGGCGGGCACTTAAGTGGGGTGGGGACTGGTCTTGTCTGGTAGAGTTTAACCCGGAAGCGCTGACGGTGGCGGCCGAGCGGGCGAAATCCAGCCGAGAAACGGGGAATAACGTGGCAGCAGCAAAACGGCCGCAGCCAGTCAGGCCCCAGCCACCCGCACCGCACTCGGGCACGTCCCCCCCACCCCCCGCCCCGGGCTGGTTCCCGCCCCTTCTCTCTCCACATTGGTCCACTAACGCTCCGGACCCCCCACCTTGGGTGGGCCTGAGAAGTGGGGCGGTTCCCCCCGTTCCCCACCCGCTCTGGGCCCGGGGCAGCCATGCTGAGTGTGGCTGCGGTGCTCGCAGGGTGGGGCAGTTTGCTCGCTGGGCCTCGCTGTCCCCTCTCAGTAATTCTCCTGAGTCGCGGGCTGTGGGGACCCCGCGGAAAGAATGGTTAGCCCTTTGGGAACCGGGCGTTCGTGTGAAGCGCAGACATTTCCACTGCCTGGCGTGCTCCCGAGCCCGGTGGGGTTTAGTTTTCCAGAGATGATGTCATCATAAAACCTTCCCAGAGCTTAAGGCCGGTGGGTAGGGCCTCAGAGCTGCTGAAAAGCAGAGATCCTTAGAAAGAGAGTGACTATATAATTTATTCAAGTTGGGGCGGCTTTGAGAATGTAAGGGAATACTGTAGTAATGAGGATTGACCTAGCAGTCGTAAATGCAGACTGTTATGGAATTTATGGCCATCCTGCTTAGAAATCATTGGGTCGCAGGCCCAGCTCATTTTTAAAAATTGTGTTAAAGTGTATGTATACCACAGAATGTTCCGTTGTAGCCATTTTTTATTGTGCAATATAGTGGCATTACATTCACAATGTTGGGCAATAGTCATCTTTATTTTCAAAATTTATCATCATCCCTAAAGGAAATTCTTACCTGTTAAGCAGTAACTTCCATTGCTTTCTCCCACCACCCACTGGTTATCTATTATCTACTTTTTGTATCTTTGAATTTGTCTATTCCAGATAGTCATTCATGTAAGTGGAATCATGTGATCTTCCTCCTTTTGTGTCTGGCGTGTTTCATTTATCCTAATGTTTTCAAGGTTCATCCATGAGGTAGTAACTATCAGTTCTTCATTCCATTGTATGGCTGAATATTATTCCAGGGTCTTTGACAATTTTTTATCTGTTCATGAGTTGATGGAAATTTGAGTTGTTTCTAGCCGTTGGTGGTTGAGAATAATGCTACCATGAACATTCCCATAAAAGTATTTGTTTGATTCCCAGTTCAATTCTTTTGTGTGCATATACTTTAGAGTAGATTTGCTGGATCACATGTTGGATTCTATGTTCTCATATGTTGGACTCTATGTTGCAACTATTTGAATAATTGCTATACTGTTTTTCCCAGAAGCTGCACCATTTTATATTTCTATCAGCAGTGTATGATGGTTCCAAATTCTCCATATGCTCACCAACATATGTTATTTCTAGTTTTTGCTTTTTACAGCCATCTTAATCAGAGTAGGTGGGGGTCATTCATATATTATGTTGTGCTTTTAAAAACAGTAGGAAGCTTTTACTCTGGAAAGTGTTTAAAAAAAATTCTGTCCAGGGCCTCCCCAGTGGCGCAGCGGTTGAGCGCTGGGTTGTGAAGCTGCCCGCAGCCTTTGTAGCACCGGTTCGATCCCCAGCTGCTCCCTGGCTGCTCCCGGGCCACTGGAGGAGGGTCCCACATGGTGCACAGACCTCTCCTGCCGCCCGCTGCTCCCCTCAGCAATGTACTTCAGTCCTTCTGCCTGCTCTGCTCCCCACTCTGACTCTGGTAAATTCTCTCACCCTCCCGTGCTTCTGACTGTACCCAATGGTTGTATAAATAAATAAATAAATCTTAAAAAAAAAAATTCTGTCCAAAAGAGTAGCTGAGGGCCTCCCTGGTGGCACAGGGGGTTAAGCACTGCACTATGAAGCAATCCACAGGCTCTGCAGCATGAGTTCGATCCCCAACCGGCAAGGGAGAAACCCACGTGGCGTGGCAGACCTCTCCTGACTTGCCTGCTGCTCCCCTCGGCAGTGTATTTCAGTCAGTCTGCCTGTTCTGTACCCCACTCTGTCTCTGGTGGATCCTGTCACCCCCGCATCTCTGGCCTGTACCCCAGCTCTTGTATGCATAAATAAATAAATCTTAAAAAAAAAAAAAAAAGAGCAGCTGAATACACACAGCAATTGATTTTATAAATGTAAGTGGGAAAATTGCCAATTATGGTATCTACCTCTCAAATCTTTCCTCCAGCCTTCCTATCTCTTGAATAAGCTTTTATCAGAATTGGCTTTAAAAATAAACCTGAAAATAAAAAAAAAAAAACCCTGAAGGAAAAATGTATGTAAATATGTTTTTTGTACTCACAGAGAATCTCTCATTTCAGGAATATAAAAAAGGGAATAATATTATCTCCTATGCTCCTTACCAAGATTCCTAGAAGGAATTATAGTGAGTATTTTACTTTATCTTCCCTATGAGAGGCCATTCTAGTACATTTTCAAGCTCAATCTCTCTGTTGAGCATGTGAGATAACTTGGTTTTAAAGTCCTTTTCACACAAGGTCTGGCACATTCAGAGTGAAATGGCCACAGATTAAAGTATTTTTTCACATTAGGGGATTCTCACTGCTAAGGAGAGAAGTCTATAGCCTGTCTATGGAACTGAAAGATCTGATTTCTTACTAAAGGTTACTCATAATTATTGTTGCCAGATCTAACAAACAAAAATAACAAAAAATTCAGTTTGAGAAATCCATATGAGACATCAAAGATCACAGAATAGGAGTCTGGGGTTTAGGATAGAAATCTATAAATCTCTTGGAATCTATAAAAGGATGGCATCTAAAGGCATAGGTCCAATACCACTAAGAATGGAATACTTCTCAGCTATAAAAATAGCTGTATTTTATCTGCCAACCCAATCCAAAAAACAACAATCTAGGATATGCCAATCTAATACTTTCATTATTTCAATTAACATGTAATTACTGAACACCACTAGAGTAAAACATTGAGCTAAAGTTATAAGTGAAAGTGAAGGAAAAATTTATGTCCCCAAGGAATTTATAATTACTGGGAGATACAAGGCAGAATCTTGAAAT